GTATTTTTCACAGCAGGCCAATGCCCCTTAGCACCACCACTAAAAGCAGAGCATGTACCTGTTTGAATAAAGGCGTGTGTGATGTGTTTCCTGCAGCATGACGGTGGCGATGAGGCTGCAGGCCCGCTGGGATCTGATGGAGCGGACGGATGTGTTTTATGTCGGTGTCGCTCTGATGGTTCTGGGCACGGTGCTCGTGGTGGGAAGCTTCCTGCGTCTGGGGTTCACTGGAACCTTCCTAGGTGGGTATCAAACACACTGGCAAATATTATGGGGGAAGTCTGGTGGTTTTCACATGTCAAGTGTTTGTCAACAGCTTTCAAATCCAAACTGCATGACCTGTTAAAAATCTGCTCAAAGATTGTTGGTCCACCCTGTCAGAGACTTTCTGACTCACAGACCATAATAACCTGTCCAACAACATCATCTGGGACCCCAAGCATGCTCTGAACAGAGGATATGAACTGCTACCATCTAATGGAGATTGAATAAAGTCAGCTGAAGCATCCTCTTGTGCTCCAGTCATCCTCTCAGTAAACACAGAGCTCCAGATCAATGCACGCTGAAGGCTCTTTGAGCTTCTCTCACTGATCCTGCTGTCATGTTCAATGTTTGTTTTCCATGTATTGTGTCCTGCTATTTGTCTGTTGATGTTACGCATGACATGGAGCTGCTGTGATGCAAGTCACATTTCAGACTTGATCTGACCATTCAAGGATTATTGCATCGTATCGTAATGTATGTTGCACAGACAGTTGCATCATGGGAAGTGTATGATCCATTGGGGACTTAATCTAGGCTTTTACTGCTTAGATTTTTCTTTGGTAAACTGTCTTATCTTCTTAGTAAGACCCTTTTTTTGAGTGACTTAAGTTCAGTAATTTTGTATTTTTAAAATGTTTAGGATTCAGTTTGTATTTGTTCTCAGCAGTTTAGTAGCATGCTTACGCGCTTATTTTAAATATCCACATGGTAAATATACACGATTCAGATCAGTGTGTTACCAATGCCAGTGTGAGTGGGGTCTAATCTTGACTTTCATTAGGTTAGTTAAATAATAATATGTATTTCTAAAAGTATAAAAACCTCTTGTTGTGGGTTATAGTAAATTGTATTACGACCAGTACATGTATTTGTTTATGTGTTATTATAGGAGCTACATAATGTATTGTTAAATTCTTATCATGAGCCCTGAATATTTAGTTATGTTTTATTTTATATATGTTTTGAAAGTTAATTTATCATACATGTTGATGTTTCTTTTGCCGCTAAAGTGTTGTTTTGTATGCTTTTGACCAAAAAACTATGATTTCTTCCCTACTTATACTACTATAATTTGGATTTTCTGGATCATGCAATCATGTGTGACTCATACGTGAGAAAACCGTGCAGACACTCGCTGTAAGAAACGTGACTTCACACACATTTTCTCATTCATATTCATGTGAACAAACACTTGCATGTCCTCCGCAATCAGCACATGCAAATCGTCGCATCTGCCTCGAGGACAGCCATGTTTGTTTTCATTGGTTGTGCCATTGTGTGCTTCCAGGCATCCAATCAAATGGGCACGAGTATCATCGTTACCATTTGACAAGATCAGGTTTCTAGGGTCAGTCCGTTTCAAGTGTTTTTGAGTCACCACCAACATCCAGACTGGTGTGTGTGTGTGTGTGTGTGTGTGTGGGTGTGTGTGTGTGTGTGTGTGGGTGTGTGTGTGTGTGTGTGTGTGGTGTGTGTGGTGTGTTGTGTGTGTGTGTTGTGTGTGTGTGTGTGTGTGTGTGTGGTGTGTGTGTGTGTGTGTGTGTGTGTGTGGTGTGTGTGGTGTGTGTGTGTGGTGTGTGTCAAGCAGAGGAATCACAAGAGACTTCCGATGGGATTTTTCATTCTCTGCCCGTTTAGAGCAGGACTGTTTCAATCCATTTCTCAGAGTCTTTCTTCAAGGACAACAGTGTGAGTGATGAGACGCAGCAGATGAGAAATCACTATAACACCGTCAAAACATGTGAACTCTGACGGCAGTAAACAGATAACAAGAGTGTTGAAAAACTGATAAACATTTCTAGAGGGAGAATTTTACTCTGCCACCACTGACAGTTTCATGGATAAGAATGCAGTCTCTCTTCAGTATTCATAAAGCTGATTGCTGAATACCAGAGGTGGGAAGTAGTTGAGTACAAATACTTTGTTTACTATACTCAAGCACATTTTTCTGGTATCAGTACTTACTCCACTACTTATTTTTTTCTGAAGTTCTGAACGTCTTTTTTACTTTGACTTCTTACATGTTGACACAAATACCTGTACTTTCTACTTCTTACATGTTGAACACAAATACCTGTAACTTTCTACTTCTTACATGTTGAACACAAATACCTGTACTTCTACTTCTTACATGTTGAACACAAATACCTGTACTTTCTACTTCTTACATGTTGAACCCAAATACCTGTACTTGCTACTTCTCACATTTTCAAACAGGCTGGTTCCTTTAGTTTGAATGTGTGTCTGGTGGCGTGATCATTATGATTTAGAGTCATTGCGTGCCTATTGATTTGAACACGATCCGTGTATCCATCATTTCCTGGTCTTCTCTAAGAAGAGGGACCAATGAAAACGTTGTCATTTGCCCGTTGTTCAGCATGGAAACATTCATTAGCTAACAATGACATTATTGTTCTATTAATATAAAGGGAGGTCAGGTACTCTTTAAAACAGCTGCTAGTTATGGGTACTTTTTACTGAAGTACATTTCAAAGCCCTCTTTACTTTGACTTCAGTAAAGAAGTTTAGTCAGTACTTCTACTTTTACCAGAGTATTTTTAAACATGAGTATCTGTACTTTTACTTGAGTAAAGGATGTGTGTACTTTAACCATCTCTGCTGAATACCATTTAGCTGCTACATGTAGCAGCATTGTCATGCTCCCCAAGCTAAATCCTACATATACATAAGCTATTGAATAGAAGCATGTATTGTCATTATACGAGTACAACGAGAAGGGTAAAGCTACTCCTTTTAAGGTGCCATCAAACATTCAGAAAAGACAACATAACAAAGACACTCAGCATTCATACATACATAAATAATAACAAAATAAAGTGCAGGAAATAATTCAATTTGTATAGCATTGAAATAGCTGCCCCATGTGTATATGGGTGTTTAAGGGTGTGAGGATGATTGTTACGCCTCACCATGATCTGTCTGCACAACAAACACACACACACATTGTAGAAGGATGAAGCCTGAGGGTGTGTGTTGTAATTTGATGTGTCTCTTTCACTCTATAAAGAGCTTCTGGAGTCAGTGTGACCTGATGATTCAAAGCGATGGCACAGGGTTAGAAACAACACACATCTAAACAAAATGAAATTACACACACGGCTTACTGAGGATCGAAACCCCTTCAACCCTCCTTATCGCACAAACACTTCGCTAACCTCTTCCAACACTCTCTACACTACTACTCCGCGCAAATACATGCTGCCAATTTTAAAACCACAATGCAACAACAGTGACGCAGAAAACACACGCAGAAGTTATGCTCTGCTTTCAAATCAGACTTGTGTTGCAAGTAGACGCTGTGGATGTCAGAAATGAGGTCAGCAAAAGTCAATGTATGCTTTGTATCAAACCAAACGCTTGTTGTGTGATCTGTCCCCCTGTAGTAGGGATGGGTTATCGTTAAGGCTTAACGTACTAATACTTTAATCGATACCGCTTATCGATCCGGTCTTTTAACGGTACTTTTGGAGAAAAAAATAAACAAATTGTGAACAAAATTAACATAGCTTTTTATTTAAATTAAATAAATAATATTTCACATCAAAAGAAACAACAATGTTTAACAAATCGTATTAAATAATCTGAAGACAGAACTGTAAACAGAATAGCTGAAACTTTAACAAATAAATAACGTATTGTATAATTGAGTTAACTCCGTGTGTTGCTGCTAGCATACATAACACCTGACGTGGAAACGTTACTCGTGGATGGGGCTACAGCGCTACTAGAAAGACAGTCGAACCCGGTGCATTCCTCCGTCTGAATGTGGAGCACTTTTGCAAGATGTTTAGACAAATTGCTCGTGTTGCCGCCCTCACATGCTAAACTCTTATTGCACTTTTGGCAACGAGCATTGTCCACATCGAGACGGGTAAAGTTTAACCACACCTCGGAGCGCGTTCTCTCCGCCATCTCCTCCGTGGGTGTTTCTCAATCGCGAGTACGCTTGCTTGGTAGCACATGTCTGCCGAGCATCTTGCTTCAGAAGCGAGTCAAGAATACTTCCTGGCATTCGGAATACAAAGAGTGGAACAGGCTAGCAAGTGTGCAGGTGTGCGTCAATATGAGAGGCCCCGCCTTACATCTTCCGCCACAGATTTGGGGAAATTGGTCCGTGCGCAAAGCATTGTGGGGATTTTAAGACCGCAGGAGTCTACTCATGTGCAGCCTCGATATTTCTCCAAACGGAGTACGCCGGGGCTCGGTAGATTTCCAAGTATGCTGGAGATTGGAACAGTACTTCGGCGGCACTCGATGACGTAGTATGCTTGAAATAGTGGCTCTGAAGCAGCTTTACTCGCGATTGAGAAACACCCCGTGTGTGTGTGTTGCTGGCTGCATGTAGCAGCTGCGTGTGTGTAAACTGCCCCGCCCCCTCGCACACAGACAGGAGAGAGAGATCGAAAATACAAAAAAATTATCATAGATGCATTTTGTAGTCTTTTTGCATATTAGAAACGGAGTTGGCGACACTAAAACTACAATATAATGTTTGTGTAGCAATAATACATATGACATATTTTTTTAGATGTCTCCAGTGCCGATAAAAAGACCGATAACGTCGGAGCTTAACGGTACCACGGTCTTTAATAATTCAGCCCCGGGGCCCGTTTAATACCAGGGCTCGGTACCCATCCCTACCCTGTAGTGCTAAAATAAGTGACATTGTTATACAAATTGGGTATTAACAGATTTTCTTTGACAGAAAACAGGACCAGCAGCGCTTCATGTTATTTACCACGTCAGGTTTACTTATTAAAGTAGGGTAAAGTTTCCAATGTCAGAAAAAATACTTGGAGAAAGAAAGCTTGGCTGTTGGAGAGCATTTAACAGATGAGCAGATAACGAGCCTCTTTATATCTTTCCCCACTTTTCTTATTCGATAATTAACGTGAAATGTCTAAATGAAAACGGAATAGCTCAGTGTTTGTAGCATGACAAGCTAACATACTTTGAGATGAAATCGAAAATCACTAAACAGGACAAGAGATACTAAAAAAATTACCTTTGTTTGTTTTGAAATGGAGAGTTTTGTGTGAAAAAAACCTTAAAATGTTCCGGCAGTAACCGTGTGTGTGTGTGTGTGTGTGTGTGTGTGTGTGTGTGTGTGTGTGTGTGTGTGTGTGTGTGTGTGTGTGTGTGTGTGTGTGTGTGGTGTGTGTGTGTTGTGGGTGTGTGTGTGTGTGTGTGTGTGTGTGTGTGTGTGTGTGTGTGTGTGTGGGTGTGTGTGGTTGTGTGTGTTGTGGGGTGTGTTGTTTTCCCGGTGCTTCTTTTGGGTCTCCTGCTGGCGCGTCACGGTGCCCTGCTTCCCCTCAACGTCTTAGACAACCCGTAGTACTGGGGCAGCACCGCCAACTACCTGGGCCTGGCTCTCATGTAAGTGTGTGTGTGTTTGTGTGTGTGTGTGTGTGTGTGTGTGTGTGTGTGTGTGTGTGTGTGGTGTGTGTGTTTGTGTGTGTGTGTGTGTGTGATGTGTGTGTGTGGTGATGTGTGTGTGTGTGTGTGTGTGTGTGTGTGTGTGTGTGTGTTGTGTGTGTGTGTGTGTTGTGTGTGTGTGTGTGTCCAGTAAAGTGAATGTATTTCTGCAGCAGAGATTGTCTCTAATGAATCACAACAGGTGTTTCTATCACCATCAACTTTAAACCTGATCAGAATTTCAGTTTTCAACATCCTGAATAATTACCGATGATTGCTGTCGTGCGTCAAACTGCGTTTTTGACCAAAGTGCGTTCCTGCAGATTATACGCAGATGAAAAAAATTATGTTTATTATCCAATTCCTCTTTTTAAAAGGTAAAAACGTCTGCGTCCGTGCCTCGTCCCCACGACAACTGTGACAACATTACATGAGTCATTGCTAGGCAACCAAGATTGACGAGCCAGCTGCCAATATAACCCATTAAAAAACCCAAAACACATTAAAAAAAAAAACGAAAAAAGTCATAATTTTGTGTTATTGACTTTCTCACCCTCTTTCCCCCCCTTTTACCTGTAACGTGTGTTGTCCACTGCTGATCTTAAATATATACAAAGTCCCATGATCCTCCTTAGCAACGGTCTGTCTGTTATCCTTGGCAACTGTTAGCGTCAATTAGCAGACCTATGGAGTGTCCGAATTTACCAATCAGAATTAAGTATATTTCAACTAAGCCGTGTTAGAAATTGGAATAATTTGTGTCACATAGGACACAAAAGGTAGTCTCAAGGCTGCACATTGATGCTGATTTTCTTCTTGTATCATCTTATTAATACATGCTGGAGATATGAGATATACAAAAAAATCCATCATGCTTCACTGTTTGAGAGTACTCCAGTCCTCCTTTGTCATATTCTCAGTCACAAACAAAGACTGGAGGCGAAAAAATATCCCCTCTCTGTGCCACACACTCTCTCACACACACACACACACACACACACACACACACACACACACACACACACACACACACACACACACACACACACACACACACTAACTGGTCTCTCTGAGTCCTAGACAAAGCATCAGCAGGCACCCATTAGCACTCAGACGTTTACTTGAGTAGGAGCTGGAGCTGGAGCTGGAATAGCTGCTGATTGTCACTATTATTATTATTATTTTCACATTATCTTCAAGGACCAGGAGTCTTCAATTACTGTATCATGTCGGCTGCATTTCATATGGTTTCCAGGCAGCTTACCATTTATATACAGTACACATGTAGGTTATGACGTAAAAGCTATAAGGTTTGCAAGAGACCTTTTAGAAAAAGCAAATGCAATCGGCTGCACTCCTAGATTTTATTATATATTTTCCAAGACACACATAATACAGTACGCAAACAAGCTTACACACCAACACATTAATACCATTTAACATGTGGTGAAGCCATAGCAACCCACATATCCACATGTTTTTGCATCAGTGCATGGTTTACTCCAAACAAAATAAGATATGTCCTTTTTTTCTGATGGCTAATTGTCTAGATCACTTTTAAAAGTCTAAAAATGTTCTGAAAAATGTGTAAAAAGTCACATCTGAGCTATGATATGGTCTGACTTTCTACTTGTTAATGCACTGAATGCACACGTAATAGGAAAGTAGGTTATGACGTAAAAGTTATGATGGTTTGCAAGATAAATTGTTAGCATGCGACATGGATTCTGCACAGCAACAGTGGAACCTTTACAATGAAAGGATTATTCATGTGACATAAATGCTGCCCTTATGAAGTGG